AAGGAAGGCAGGGATGATGAGAATGACGCCAGTGAGGCGCGGGTGGGTGCCCCGTTGACTAACCGCGCCTGTGTACAGGGCTCCTTCCAGTGTGGCCCCTGCCAACCCGGCTTCGTGGGTAACCAGACGTCAGGCTGCCAGCGGCGTGGGCAGCGCTTCTGTCCCGATCGGTCACCCAGCCCGTGCCATGAGAAAGCGGACTGCGTCCTGGAGCGCGACGGTTCGACGTCATGCGTGGTGAGTGAGGGCGCACAGGTCGTGGAGGAGGGGTCCCCGGGCTCAGGCGTGCGTGGACATTAACACCGACTGCCCTGCGCAGTGTGCCATCGGCTGGGCCGGCAACGGGCTCCTCTGCGGCCGCGACACGGACCTGGACGGTTTCCCGGACGAGAAGCTGCGCTGCTCAGAGCGCCAGTGCCGCAAGGTGGGTGTGACCTGGAGGGCGTGACCTGGAGGGCGTGGTGAGTCCAGATAGACACGCCCCCTCACTCGGCGTATCGCTCCCCAGGATAACTGCGTGACCGTGCCCAACTCGGGGCAGGAGGACGTGGACCGCGACGGCATCGGAGACGCTTGCGACCCGGACGCAGACGGGGATGGAATCCCCAATGAGCAGGTAAATGCGAGAGGGCCGTGGACGGTGTTTGGGGACGGCTTGACCTCTAGTTGGTTGTCCAGCTTCCGACGGAGGGGCGGGACCTACTTGGAGATGCACAGGTCTGGGAAGTGGTTTTTGTTTCTTTTTCTTTTAAATTAATTAATTAGCTCGTGTGTGTGTGTGTGTGTGTGTGTGTGTGTGTCCACTCACCAGTGTGACACTTGCAGGAAACGGTTCTCTCCTTACACTGAGTAAGCTCCGGGGAAATTGAACTAAAGCTATCAGCCAATTGGGAGGCGATCTGTGTCCCCCCCCCCCCCCGACTTCACTTGCCCTGTCTTCTAGGACAACTGCCCGCTGGTTCGAAACCCAGACCAGCGCAACTCGGACAGCGATAAGTGGGGAGATGCTTGTGATAACTGCGGGTCCCAGAAGAATGATGACCAGAAAGATACAGACCAGGATGGCCGGGGCGATGCCTGCGACGACGACATTGATGGCGACCGTGAGCATGGCTGGGGAGTCGAGGGGGGGCCCATCTCTCAGTGGCAGTGCTTGAATGCTTGGAAGATGAATGGTGACCCACCCTGATGTGGCTAAAGTCAACAGAGGGAAGCCTGAAACCAGGGTTGCGAGATGGCTAGAGTATCTCTGTTTAGCCCTGGCTATTCTAGAACTCACTATATAGACCTGGCTGGCCTTAACTCAGGGAGTGCCAAAGCAAACAACATTTTTATTACATTTTAATCTATCATTTCTGTGTACACGCACCTGTGTGCATGCATGTATGTGCATGAGGGCCATGGCACACATGTGGAGGTCAGAGGGCGACCTGCATTGCAGGAGTGGGTTCTCTCTCAGGTGCCAGGCCTGACCCATGCTGTTCTGACCCTGTCCTAACCTGGCCTTTCTCGGGATCCAGCCTTATTTCATTGATCTATCTCAGGAATAAAAAATGTAGCTGACAACTGTCCCAGGGTGCCCAACGCTGACCAGCGTGACAGCGATGATGATGGCGTTGGGGATGCCTGTGACAACTGTCCCCAGAGAGACAACCCGGATCAGGTATGCCACTTCCTAGGGGAGCCTTCCTGCCAAGGGCAGCCGGGGGTTCTCGGCCCTGACTGACTCTTGACCCCACTGCAGAGAGATGTGGATCACGACTTTGTGGGTGATGCCTGTGACAGCGACCAGGACCAGTAAGTAGCCCTTGAGATGGTCGCGGCTGAGTGGTGCATGACATCCCCTCCCAGGGTCCCATCGTCCACTCCTTCACTCTAGGGATGGGGACGGACACCAGGATTCCTGGGACAACTGCTTCACAGTGCCCAACAGCGCCCAGCAGGACTCGGACCATGATGGCCAGGGCGATGCCTGTGATGACGATGACGACAATGACGGAGTCCCTGACGACCAGGACAACTGCCGCCTGGTGCCCAACTCAGGCCAGGAGGACAGTGACAGTAAGGGCAGTGAGGGTGTAGTCACTAGCTGATGTGGGCCTGGTCAGTAACAGGTGTGGGTGTGGCCGGCATCTCGTGTGTGGAGGGAGCGGCCTGAACTGAGCCCACAGTGGCAGCTCGTGTCCCACCTCCTTTCAGGGGATGGCGTGGGTGACGCGTGTCAGGGCGACTTTGACGCTGACAAGGTCGTAGACAAGATCGACGTGTGCCCCGAGAATGCGGAGGTTACTCTCACCGACTTCAGGGCCTTCCAGACCGTTGTGCTGGATCCCGAGGGGGACGCGCAGATTGATCCCAACTGGGTGGTGCTCAATCAGGTGCGGCCAGGGGCCATGGTGGCTGTTTAAGGAAGCCAAGGAGCCCCTCAGCGCCGGCCTGAGACTCTTCCTTGTTCCGACCTCCCCAGGGAATGGAGATCGTGCAGACGATGAACAGTGACCCTGGCCTAGCTGTGGGTGAGACGGGGCGGGGCAGGGCGGGGCAGGATCATGGGGGCGTGGCCACAGAGCAGGACCTGTCAGCCTAGTCTTGGGAAGGGTAGAGAAGAGGGGAGACAGAGAGGTGAGGACAGATGGCAGGTTGCTGGAGTGGCCATAGGTGGGTTTCCATGTTGGTTGGTCTGGACCCGGGAAGGGTGGGGTTGCTGCTGTGCGTAGGGTCTTGAGGGCATGGCCTTGTGAGGAAGTGGTCTTGGGCGGCCTAGCCCTTGAGCCAGGGGGGATTTGGAATGCTTTTGGATATGGCCAATGGTATGCTGGGGGTGGGGCCTTATCAGAAAACTAGGTTGGAAGTGAACCTAGTTTTCTGGAGGAACTGGGTGTCCAGAGCAAGCAAGTTTTGGGAGGCCCCATTTCTCTCTCCCCTTCTACAGGGTACACAGCCTTCAATGGCGTAGACTTCGAGGGCACATTCCATGTGAACACGGTCACTGATGATGACTACGCTGGCTTCATCTTCGGCTACCAGGATAGCTCGAGTTTCTACGTGGTCATGTGGAAACAGATGGAACAGACATACTGGCAGGCCAACCCCTTCCGGGCGGTGGCCGAACCAGGGATCCAGCTCAAGGTGCTTGCTGCGCTGCGCCCTCTTGGTCCCCGCACCCCCCCACTATCCTTTCCCAAAGCCTTCACAGCCTTCCAGCATTGTCCCACAGCCCTCAAGGTCACTACCCTTATTCTCCCCCAACCATTGCCACACAAGCCCGTGAATCCTCCTGCAGGAGGGCTGGGAAAGAAGCCCCTGCAGTCCAAGCACGGGGACTGGAGTTTGTATTCCCCAGAACCCACACAAATACTGGGTCTGCATGGCGGCCCACCTGTAATTCCAGCCTGAAAGGTAGAGACGCGCCCAGAGTAAGCTGGTTCGCGAGGCTAATCAGACTGGGGAGCCCCAGGCTTCACTACAGACCCTGCTCTATTGAACAAGGTGGCAAACTCTTGGGGATGGATATGACACTAACTCCCGGCCGCACCTCCATGTGCATACACCACATATATACAGTATGCAGTGAAAAACTGAAGATATATCCTGCCTCAGGAAGGAAGGGAACTAGTGAGTGAGTGAGTGAGTGAGTGAGAGAGAGAGAGAGAGTGAGAGAGAGAGAGAGAGAGAGAGAGAGAGAGAGGGAGGAGAGCGCACTCCCTTAGGAGCACCTCGTGTACCTTTCAGCCCAAACCTTCACAGAACCCGAGTTTTCCCTGGCCACTGCATATTCCTCCTGCAGTCACCCGCAACAGGTGTGCAGGTTCTCTAGACGCCAGCTTATCCCAGCAGGCACCTGTAACCTACAAGCCAGCAAACCTAGAGGGGCCGCAGGGTGCCCTGTGCTTCCAGTCCAGAGACTGCAGACTCCCCTCCCTGTGACAGGCAGTCAAGTCCTCCACGGGTCCTGGGGAACAGCTCCGCAATGCACTGTGGCACACGGGGGACACAGCATCCCAGGTGCGGCTGCTGTGGAAGGATCCTCGCAATGTGGGCTGGAAGGATAAGACATCCTACCGCTGGTTCCTGCAGCACCGGCCTCAAGTTGGCTACATCAGGTGGGGACTGCCCTGCAGTGGGTGAGCTGCACTGGGGATGCCCCGTTTTGTGGTGGTTCTAGAAGAAATGGGCTCCATCTGCAGCATAGGCAGATGGTCCTGACTGGAACTGACAGGACCCCAGCACCTTTGTACAGGGCACCTAACACATTCTTACAGGGAAAACTGAGGCAGGCTCTCCTGCTCCTGTTGTGACACCAGTGATGAAGGGGGTGAGCACGGGAACCCCACCTCACTGTTCCCCTCACAGGGTGCGGTTCTATGAGGGTCCTGAGCTAGTGGCTGACAGCAACGTGGTGCTGGACACGGCCATGCGTGGTGGTCGCCTGGGCGTCTTCTGCTTTTCCCAAGAGAACATCATCTGGGCTAACCTGCGCTACCGCTGCAATGGTGAGCTGGGGCCAGCAGGCAGGACCCGAAAGGCTCCAGGAGGCATTCTCACCCGCTGTCTTTCAATCTACAGATACACTCCCTGAGGACTACGGGAATCACCAGCTGCAGAGGGCCTAGGGAACTCACGTGGGCACCGCTGCCTGATGAACTGTGGTAGCCTGAGCTACAGGTGTCTGTGGGTCTGGCATCGCTCTGGAGGGGTGCCTGGCCTGGGAAGGAAAGGCTAATAAAGTATAAATGCGGGGGACTGGGGGCTCTGGTTTCTGCTGCAGGAGGCTCACTCTGTGAACGGCCCCCAGGGAGGCCCAGATCTGTACTCTGGTCATTCAGATAATCACTACAGATGCTGACACCCCTGGTATGATCAGACGGGCATTCCAAGTTTGAAGAACCCCAAAGTCACTGAATGGCTCAGTGGGGGCTGTGCAAGGAGCTCAGGCCTGTGTGGGGCTCAGACACAGAAGAACAAGGCATCCAGGATGGAGGAGGAAAAGAGGGAGAGGCCCAGACGAAAACATTGGGTTTTTATTACATTTCATTACAAAGGGCGCAAAAATACAAAGAAGCGTCTGCGCCAGAAGGTGGGGTGGGCAGCCGTGCGTGCCCTGAGCAACCTGACCCCCAACTGCAGTGTCCATGTGTGTAGTTCACAGACATCCACAGCGGCAGAGTGCGCATGCTGGGGGCGGAGCCAGCGTGGGCACAGGGAGGGGGTGGGACCAGCCATTTGCATATATCAGAGGGGCTGCCCAGCCCAAGGCATTCTGTTTCCTACTATGGGGTGAGATAGCCTGAGAACCAAAGCTGGCCTCATGTCCCCTGTGTGATCAGTTGGACCTTGGTCACCCTGGGATTCTAGAGCCCCAAGAGATGGGGTGAGCCCCTACTACATGTGACGGATCTACAGCCCCAGGGAAAGGCTGAGTCCAGAAGGTGCCGCTGTCCCCACCTTGCCCAGAGAGTTGGGCCCCTGAGCCCAACGAGTTTGAAAAAGCAATGGAAGGGGACCCCTTGCCATTGGGAGTACCCCAGCACCCAGGCTTGAGAGGGCACAGGTCCTTCCACCTTCTGCCCCAATGGGGAGACACAGCTATGACCAATGGGGTGGTGAGCATTTGTGCCACACTGAGGGCCATGCCTGAGACAGCAGTGATCAGGGGCTCCAAGTCATCCACCAGGAGATTCCTGAAGGAAGTAGGAACCCCAGGGGACAAGGAGAAAGGGTATAAAAAGGACCAGGAACCACCACACTTGAGGCAGGCCTTGGGGTCTGGAAAAGGTCGTGTCTTCCTCCAACTGTTCGGACCACACACCGACTCTGCCCCATGATGCCCTCACCTGGACACTTCTTGAGGGACAACAGGCAGGGCCTAGGGCACAAATATAATCTGACCCAACTGACCCACACCTGTGCCGCAGTTCCACCAGGACCCTGATCCCACCAGCCCTCTCCACCTGTGGCTCTATTGGGCACAGAAACTTTCTAAGGAAAAACAGAAAACCCAGGATGCCGTGAACCAATCCCATGACCATGGTGGTCAGCACTGCCACAGGTGGCTGCCTCTATACCTGCTGCCTGTTCTTGTCCTGCACCAGGCCCACTGTGACAGCTGCCAGCCATCCTGGCATGCTGGGGGTGGCGTGTGGGTCTCGCTAGGGCCCCTGTAAGAGTCTTCCAAAGAGCTCAAGGCCAGGCTAAGTATGCAATGAACTTGAGAGCTTTCCCTGGCATTGAACGGTGCCACAGAGAAGGGACATGGACAGGACCTGTTGCTGGAGGGGACAGAAACAGGCTGGGTAGAGCTGCCTCCTCTGTCTGGAGGCCTGTGGGTGGACAACTACTGCCCCAGGGGCTGAAACGGTGAGGTAAATTGAGGCATCTGAGCATAGTGCTCCACTTTGTTCTGAAATGGAGAAATGGGTCAGACCGGCCTCATGGCTGAGGCTCAGCTGAAGATGGCACATGGCTGAGGTCTGCGGGGAAAGGCCAGGTGTCCAAACCTGTCCTGAGAAAGCATGGATGTGGGCAGAGATCTATGTACATGTTGTGGGGATTCCAGGATAGCTGCTCCCAACAAAGTTAAATGGGTCAGTATGTCATGTCACCAGCTGGGGGTCCCCGCAGCCCTGACTCGGGATGGCTTGGCAATACTAGGCAAGATAACTGACATCTAGAAAGCAAAGACTACCCCAGGGGTACCACTGCCACCGAGCCTCTAGGCCCAGGGTGGGGGAAGAGTGAGCCCATCCAGAACACGCAGGCACCTAACCCCTGGCTGGGGCCCCATCACCCCATCAAGGAACTTGGCAATGAACCAAGTCATGCTAACATAGCTACATGCATAGTCCTGGCTGCGGGGTGTTGAAAACGAGGCCACAAACGTGGGGGAGTCATGGGGCCATGTCCCTCCTGCCCCAGCTGAGAACCTGAAAGGCCAGTGACTGGCTCCTGGAAGTCGGGCCTTGCCTGACAACTGCCTCTGGCTCTCTACCTTGCTAAGGCTGTTTGTTCAGGCTTCTCCACCTGGGGAGAATCAGACTCCAAGCATGTGCACCTTCTGTCTTAAGACAGGGTCTCACATAGCTCAGGCAGGTGAAAGACAAGCACGCACCATGCATGCTTCCCTAGGAGGATGATGGTGATATCCCTGCTATTCCCTCCCAGCACGCACCATGGTGACAGGTGAACCGGACAAACCAATGCCATGTCCCCAAGTCCATGGGAACGGGGTGGGGCACGGTGATGGAGGGGCAGCGGCTTTCTCATGCAGGCAGTCACAGAGTGGCTTGGGGAAAGACACACACAGTTCCCGTGCTCCCCAAGCCCCCAGCATGGGCAATAGGCGAAATCACCGAGAAACAAGCAAAAGGCGTGGCCCTGGTGGATAAAGGCAAGTTGTAACTCAAGGTCGTGGGGAATCAGAGTGGCCCACAAAAGACAAGCCAGGCCCACAGCTCCCAACACAGACTGTTAGCATAGAGATGTGGCGACCAGCTGACTACTGAGGCCTGGCTGTACCTTGGGGAGGCTCAGAGGAAATGCGTTCCTCTGAAACGAAAGTCAAGACCTGTTCCTAGGAGTCTGTTCTGTGGTTCTTACAGACAGTTTTGTCACCAGGACCTTGTATCCAGTCCCCTCCTTGCCCATCCAGCTCTTTGGAGTGGAGACTAAGTGCAGCTGAGTGACATCTGGGTGAGCAGCCAGGCAGCCCGGCTTGAAAAAAAAAGGTCAAGATGGGACTGGGGCTAACACGTGCCAAACGTTAATACAAACTCAAGGAAAAGCAAAACCCACAGGGTTGCTGTCGCCTGAGCCCCAGTTCCTAAGCAGCAGTAAGAACCAATCACGGGACTGGGAAGGAAGGATGAAAATGGGCAGGCAGCCTGTGACCCTCCGTCTGCCCTGTATTGCAATGCTGGGCATTGTCTGGCAGTAGGCAAAGGGTGCTTGAAAGAGGGTGGAGGGGACACTGGCTGCTTCAGTGGGCTCTGACCACGCCACGTTTGACCACAGGTCGACTGTCAGGCTCCAAGAGCACTCAGGAATATGAAAGGCCGCCATCCAATAGTGTTTATTCTGCTCCGGGTCTGTCCCTTTGCTCTGCTGTCTTTGCCCTGGGCATGGTGAGCATGCGTGACCTGACCAGGACTGGGGGTGATGGCAGAGGAGGGGCAGGGATGAAGAGAGGCAGTGACAGCTGAGAACAGTTGAATGGACGGTGCACCTTAGCCTCTGGGGCACTCCCACGCTCAGGCCCCAGCCCCCTGTGCAGCACATCTGGGAGTGAGTGACACTTTGGGTATCTTGGAAGTGGACCACTGATGAGGGCCTCATCATCCCCGACGAGGGGCCAGGGAGAGAGCGTGGGGAAAGTCCATGGGGGCCAGGCACTCACAGTCCCTGTGATCAGCCTGGCTGCAGCTGGACGGATAGATGGACAGATAGCTGGCCTGGCATCAGGGAGGTGAACAACCAGGGTAGTGGCTGGCAGGGGGTGCTGGGCAGCATCGCAAGCTCAGAACCACAAGCTTGGCCATTGGCAAAGGAGGACGGAACATCGCCATCCCCAGGTTTGGAGCGGCGCTGTCGGGGACTGACCAGCAGTGGGTGGCAAGCACGGCCACTCACAGGCGGTCCATTCGGAAGGTGTCCTCGGTGGCCGGGTCAGCTAGGACCATGTCAGGGTCATTCAACATATGAAGTCCGTCCAGGGTCAGAGGGTCGATCTTCAGTTCATCCAGTGGGAACTGATGGTCTGAGTCAAAGCCAACATCACTGACACCTGCCAGTGTGCTGCTCAGGTCCTTAGAGAGGCTGGGGGGGGACTCTCCTGTCACTGTGGGGGGGACAAATGATAAGGCTTAGCCTTGGCTCCAGGGAACCAGACACCTCCCACCAGTGTGGGGGGCAGCTTACCCCAGAGAAAGCTCTGCAGGGGCATCAGAACAGCTAAGGTGTTCATGATGGGGTAGACACTGGCACTGGTGCACACAACCTCAGGTGGTCCAGTCCTGAGTACAGGTTGAGACCAGACCTACAACACCACGGCAATGTCTGCCTGAAGGATACACCCTTCTGACTCACGGTCTGAGGTGTATGGCTACTCCCTGGAGGCTCAGCTCTTTACCGTCAGGGCTGTGCCTGCCCAGTTTCCGGGCCTGGAGACTCACAGCCATCCTTTCTTGGCTGGTGGATGGGTCTATCTAACCAGAACCCACCCTTCAAGCTGCAGGGGTCCTGAGGATAAAGCCCACAGGATGGGGGGACACTATCCCCAACAGACCCAGATCACACAGAAAGCAGTCCCTTCTTCAGGGACCATAAGAGAACAGGAGGTAGATAAGGGAGACTTGGGGTGGGCTGGCCACTGGGCTAGATGGAGTGAGGTTTGGCTACAATGCTCTGTGGGATGGATAGGCCTGTCCCCTGGATATGGGTGTGGGGACTGCCAGCAAAGGACAGAGTACTGGGCTGAAGTGTGACCAGCTTGGTCCTAAACAGAAGGCCCCGTGCATGGCAACTCTCCCTGGCTGAAGATGAGAACTGGAACCCAGTGCAGTGTGAGGAGAGGGAACAGAGTGTACTGTGGGGAGACAGCTGGGGTGGCAGCGTGGGCTGAGGACACACACCCGTGAGGATGATGTCGGGGATCCCGCCGTGGCCCGTGTAGCTGAGCTGCTGTGGGTCCTGCAGGCCTCCATGGCTCCCACTCAGACCCATCATGGCGGCCTGGGCGTAGTTGAGTGTGGAGCCCGGGCTGTACAGGCTGCTGGGGCTGATGGCGTTCTCCAGCATGTTGAACTGCTCCAGCTACGCAGGGATCAGGAGAGGCTGTGAGGACGATGAACCGGGACAGTTCCTCCCACCCACGGCCCTACTGGCATGGTGATGGATGGATGATGGACTCGAAGCCACTGAATCCTCCCAGGCTTCCCCTCCGGCAGAGCCCTTCCCGCCACTGCCACGGGACAGTCAGGAGGGGCTCCTGCAGCCCACACCAAGGACATGCCTGCCCTTCCTCCCGTGCCCTCAAACTCTACCCTGCAGGGTTCACAGAGGTCAGGGAGATGTGGACAAGTCACCCTTGCCAGGGCATTCGCTTTCACAGCCTGGCAGCAGGACAGGGGGCAGAGCAGTGAAGCCTAGGATGGTGCACAGGTCTCTGTGAGGCCTGGCCCTGCTGTGGCATGGCCCATAGGCCTGGGTACCCGCTCACCTGGCGGGACAGAGCATTGGCCTGCCTGGCTGTCATCTGCTGCTCATAGTACGCGTCCCCAAACACGCTGCCCAGGGTGGACGTGTGCTGTGGACAGAAAAGAGCCCTGCTGTGGTTGCAGCCTGAGACCCAGGGGCGGGAGTGGGGGTTCATGACATCTGTGCTTCCCACAGCCCCTGGGTGGGATGAGACCTCTGGAGCCTTCTAGAGGGTGGGGTTAACTGTCATTTAGCTTGTGATTCTTAGGGGCTGTGCCCTGATGCTGGGGTGCAGGCCCTCTGGCAGCACTGCCCTAACCCTGGGTATGGGGAACAGCACTTCCTTCTTAGAGGAAGCAGGAACTGTGGGGTTCCTGAAGCTGAGGACAGACAGTGTGTGCATTTGTGTTTGGGATGCAGTATGTTCTTGGGGAAACATGGAAATGGCACAGGACACAGTCAGGGACAAGCCAATGCCTAGGGCTGCCTCCAAGGGCTGTTTGACTGTGACACCCTGGGCTCTGTGGGGTGCATTCCTATGACACTTGCCTTTCAGTCACGGCTAGCTGGACTTTCAGGACCAGGCAGAAGGACAGGGGCCTTTAGGACCATAGGACCGTCAGAAGAGAGCTCCTGTGGGCTACACCAAGGACATGCCCTGGAGCTGGGTGGCCGTAAATGTGGCTAAGTCACACCCAAGGCACCTAGAGTTATAGCTATCACGAGCCTGACAGGTCACCCATTTTCTCCTCTGTGACTGAGTGGCCCAAAGAAGCCACCAGACCCAGGCCTTCCTGAATGTGCTGAGCAGTGCAGACACCAATGAGATCCTAAGAGACAGTGTCCACGGGCTGCCGGCTCAGTGTGAGCTTCGTCTAGGGTGCGTTCAGGATCCGGTTCCTGGAGGAGACAGATGTCTCATGACAGGCCCTGCTGCCCAAGTCCCAGAGCCTCAGCAGTAGCTGAGGATTTCACTTAAGAGGGGGCTGGGCATACTTCTGAGATGGTGGCTAATTCTGTCCCAGAGCATTGTGAGGCTACCCTTGAAGTAAGCAACTCAGGGTAGGGCTTCAATTCTAGCAGGAACCAGGCCTGGGTGAATAAACACGGCACCGTGCTCAGAGGGGACACAGCCAAGGCCCAGTGGCCTGCCTAAGGCAACCCAACAGGAAGCCATATGTGGTCTAGCCTAGGCACCTCTGGGTTCTGGAAGAACCTTTTGCCTCTGCAGTCTCCACTAGAGTCAAATTCCCCAAGAGTCCTGGCCTCACTAGCAGAAGGCACCTGTTTTCCACATGAGTGAGCGACAGGCACACAGGCTGAACAACAGGACTAGGACAGCCTGCTCCCTCTGGGACAAAGAACGTCCCACACTGTTCTCAGAGAGGTGTGCAGCGGACTGCAGGCTCCTCCTCTGTCCTACCTGCTGCTGTCGAGCCCCAGAGCTCAGCGAGAGTGGACTGGTGCTGACTGAAGCAGGTGGATGGCCACCACTGGGGACCTCACAGCCTCATCTTTGACTGGTGCTCTGTCTGGTGCTCCTTCTGGTTCTAGCCTGGAAGGAACCTACTGCCCCTGTACTGGGGCTGAGGAGACTTCAGTGCCTGGGGCGTTACAAAGGACAATACAACTGTTTCTGCCTGGTGGCATTTTAGGGTGGGGTGGCCCCCGGGATGGTGAGCCCAACAGATGTTCTGAACAGAATGTGGGCCCAATGAGACTGAGCCACACCTCAACCCGGAACAGGGAACCAGGCTGTGAGGAGTGGAGGGTGCTTTCTTAGGCTGATCTGGGCCTGCAGGGCCAGGGCATCTGGGATGTGCTGCTCACTGGATCTGGGCTGTTGTGCTGACGTGCACTGACACGCTGAGGCAGGAGGATTCAGAGTTTGAGGTCACTTGGGCTACACAGTGAATGAGGGACAGCCTGGGCTACATAAGACCTTGTCTCAAAACCACAACCCAAGTAAAACGAAGGCCATATCAGCTAAGTGTGGTTACATACAGTCTGCTGTATCAACAGCTGAACCCAGGGGTGGAGGGAGAGGCCGAGCAGCTCCCAGACTGGCTGTGCCTCGACAGGCTGCCCCTTGACCTTCACAGGCCTCTGAGTCACACAGTGGGGCTGTTCTGGCATCCCAAGGACCTTTGCGCCATGGTTATCAACGGTGTGACAACCTTCTGTGCCCTGTCCTGTGTCCTGCCCCCTTGGCGTAGGAGGCCTACCTGGTGGGTGCACAGCCCGGGCAGATGGCATGAAGCGGGTGACAGCACAGGAGAGCACTTGGCACATGGGAGAGGGGAGGTGGCACAGGGCCAGGGGAGGGGCCCTTACTTGCGGGGAACTTCCAGGGGAGAAGCCTTGATTGGAGACTGGAGAGGTGGGAGACTGGTTGGCGGGTGAGCCTGCGCTCGTGCGGTACTGCAGAGACGGGGCCTGTGATGACAGACAGGCAGGGTTCGCTGACTCCTGCACTGGCCCAACAAACCCCGGCCTGATGCCTGGACCCTCAACAATGGATGCCACGTGGCTGTCAGTGGTCCTGAGAATCCACCGTGAGCTCTGAGGTGGAGGATCTGACTGATGCAGCTTCCCGAGGGCGCACGGACCCCACCTGGAGCCCACAGCAGGGACTCCTGTCAGATGCAAAACCCTTGCACACCCACCTGACACAGTTGTACATCCATATGGTAATCCACACACTCCTATAAGCACACCACATAAACACATATACGAACGACACTCACCTGAATACCTCCACTCAATACACACACTCCATTCATGAACACATATAAAACATCCACAAATACATTTGCACACACTTCCCACCTACACCCCTACAAACACTCTTGCACACATCACAGCATTCACTATTTACATGAACACATATGTGTGTGCACATCCATGGATATGTCTCAGCATCTACAACACTATGCCTGCACATCTAGAATGTGCACAGACACACATTGCACACCTGCTGCATGAACCCCAGTGTGCTGGAATTCACACATGTACATACCCACACAAACCCCCACCCCATACATTGGACGGAACAGCAGCTTCACAGGCGGGGATGGTCTTCTGCCCCTATCCCCTTGGCAGCCCGTCCTGGCAACCCCCCTGTGTCCGCAGCAACACACTGGGTTAAACAAAACTGCAGTGAGCACATGACATGAGATACAATCCTACAGGTCATACCCTCTGACTGCTCAAGGCATCCTCAGAGGCAGGTTGTACAGGGGCAGGGCCTGAATTCTGACCACACTCCAGCCTGGAGGCTGCGAGCATTCACACAGCTTTCTGGGTCTCTTACTCTCAGCCTCCCCAGAGTATTTAGTGGCCTGGGTAAGCAGGCTGGGGAGGGTCAAGCCTAGACGGGTGTAGAGGAAGGGCGCTCAACCAGCAGGATAGTCATGGTGGGACCAGCTTGGACGATATGGAGAACCCCATGAGCTGCGAGGCCACTTAGGTCCACTGTCCCTGGAGGCCAGAAGTCCCTGGGGTGAGGGCCAAGCTTTGCTGATTTTCCTTGTCTGGCTCGAGCACAGTGCCACCCCCAGTCCTGAATGGATACTTCCATCTGGGCCCCCTCGGCAGGTTCCCTGTGAGGTTCAGAGCCACTTGGTGGCACAGCCTCCTACAGCAGCCAGGACTGAAGTGGAAAATGGGAAAAGCTCAGTGTTCCCAAATAGGTCTTCCCATACGGCCGAACAGAGGGACCCATCACCCCCATACTCATCAAGGAACAGAGGTCAGGGGTTAAAGGGGTTCAGCTTAGCACCTGTCTGTCTCTTCAACCTGAATTTGGAGCCCATGATCTCCCTCCTGCTGGGGCCTCTCAGTGCAACCCTTGACTTGCCGCAGCAAGAGGGCAGCTGAGAGTGGGGTCTGGAATCAGTGACTGTTTGTACCTCCATTTTCCAGCTATACACTGTAACTGCTCAGCTTAGACAATGCAAGCAGTGAGTCCTACTGAGTGCCCAGGGACCCCCTCAGGCTCACCCTGAGTGCCCAGGGACCCCCTCAGGCTCACCCTCTGAGTGCCCAGGGACCCCCTCAGGCTCGCCCTCTGAGTGCCCAGGGACCCTCTCAGGCTCACCCTGAGTGCCCAGGGACCCTCTCAGGCTTACCGAGGTGGCGTCGATCCCCATAGGTGACTGGCCGGGGTTCTCTGCAGGAGACTGGGGGAGAGTGGACGGGACAGTGACCGAGAGCGGTGGCAGCTGGGGCCCTCTTGTCAGGCTGGCACTGGGCAGCAGTGGGCCACCCTGGGGGAGGCCCACGGACACCTGTGGGGGTGGTGGCTGCTGCTGTGACACAGGCGGAGGAGGAGGTGGAGGCTGGGGCTGTGGGGGAGGCTGCTGAGAACCAGCCTGGGTGAAGAAGGCATAGGACAGCTGTTGTTCCAGGGACAGGGTGTCCATGGCCACGGCCTGTAGCAGAAGACAAGGATGAGACGCTGGATCCTCGGTGCCGGCAGTGGCAAGGGGGGAGCTCTATGGGTCTTATCCCAATAGCCTGTTCTCCCTAGAGCAAGGACACCACACTCAGTGAGAGAGGCCCTGGGCAGGGGTGCACACTTGCCATCCAGCACTCGGGGGCCGAGGTAGGGGGATCACTCTAAGCTGCTCTTTCTGCCCAGGAACCCAGATGCCTGCTGATGGCCCTCACACCACTCCAAGAGTGGTGACAGAGGAGATGGGAACAGAGGATGATTAATGCAAGGTCATTCTCAGTCCCTCAGGTTACATAAACCTTGTTTCAAAAACAAACAAAAATACTCCAAAATAAATACTGAATTATGGCTAGCTGTGGTGGTGCACACCTTTAATCCCAACACTCGGGGTAGAGCCAAGTGGATTTCTCTTAAGTTTGAGGCCAGCCTGGTCTACAGAGTGAGTTCCAGGACATGTCCAGGCCAGTCATGGCAATATATACAGTAAGACCCTGTCTCAAAAAAGCAAAACCAACCAACAAAAAACTCACTGGTCTGAACAGCTTCTCCCGGCAGCTCTGTTGATGAGCGGCACAGACTGCTGGCGTGGACTTGAGTGCTGGCTGCTTTTGCAGAAAACCCACATGCCAGCCCACAGTCACCTCTAATTCCAGTCCAAGGGACCTGATGCACATGACACATACATGCACCCACAAGCACACACACAAATAAACTGCTAACAACAGAACCATGATCCAGATCCTACAGTCCAGGGGTAAGGGAGGAGCTGGGAATTTCCATCTTCCCCACCCACTTCGCCCTCGCACCTGAGTGATGGGTGACAGCGGGGACAGGGTGGGTGACACCTGCTGGGCCTGCTGCCGCCTGGCCTCTGTGCTCAGGGACAGCGGGCTGATGACTGCTGGCCGGTGCTGTGGAGAAGAGCTGGGGGTGCTCACACCTACAAAGGAAGAAGGGCGCTAAGGAGAGGCGGTCACATGGGCACAGCCCGCTTGTGGTGATACCCAGGATGGGCCTCTGACAATCAGCACTAGCCCCATGTAACCAATCAGAACCTGTCTTGGGATCTTGGACATTATCCCTGGGAGTGCTGCCCATCAGAGCCCTGTCAACCTCTGGTGACAGGGACAGTGGTTATGTCCTGGCTTTAGAAGGTAATGTCCTGGGCTGCAGAGATGGCTCAGAGGTTAAGAGCATTGCCTGCTCTTCCAAAGGGCCTGAGTTCAATTCCCAGCAACCACATGGTGGCTCACAGCCATCTGTAATTGAGTCTGGTGCCCTCTTCTGGCCTGCAGACATACAGAATATTGCATACATAATAAATATTAAAAAAGAAGATAATGTCCTTCCCTACTGGTGCATATCTGTATCTATTAAGATTTATTTACTTATTTAATGTGTGAGTGTTTCCCCAAATGTATGTCTGTGTGTGCTCAATGACGGTGGAGGACAAGAGGGCCTCAGATTTCCTACAGTTGTGAATGGCTGTGGGTGCTGGGAACTAAACCTAGGTCCTCTGCAACGGCAACACTTGTTGTAATTGCTGAGCCATCTCTCCAGTCCCTTGCTTGTTTGTTTTGTCTTTCAAGACAGGGTTTCTCTATGTATATCCCTAGCTGTCCTGGAACTTGCTCTGTAGACCAGGCTGTCCTCAAACTCAGAGACCCACCTGCCTCTGCTTCTCAAGTGCTGGGATTGAAGGTGTGTGCCACCACTGCCGGGCCTCTTTTTATATTTTCATTTTTTTCTTTTGAGATAGGGTTTTGTGTAGCTCAAGCTCGTCTCAAGCTGGCTATGTAGTGAGAATGACCTGGAACTCCTGAGCCCTCTGTCTCCATCTCCTGAGATGCTGTTTTTGTTTTAGCAGGGACTGGACCCAGGGGCTCTGTGCATGGGAGGCAGCACTGTCAACTGAGCTTCAAACTACTACTGCTTAATACAGGGGTATCCTGGAACTCACTAGGTAGTCCAGGCTAGCTCTGGCCTCAGAGCAATTCTCCTGCCCATCTCTCAGGCCTGTGTCACCACAGCCCATCTACCTTTTTGGCTTTGTTCAAACCTGGCAATTCCATCCTTAGGGTTTCTATAATGCCAGGGCCCTTCCAAGCGTGTTCTCTCCTGCCAAGGTACCTCTCAACAACCTAGCAGGCTCCATCCACATCCTTTGACACCTTCAGCACGATGGAGCTCCCCACACCCCTTACCAAGGCTGCTTGAACTGAAACCAGACTCCTCACTCTGCCCCAGCCCTGCCCTGCAGTGACATGCCTGCACCTGCCAGGGCTTCTGCAGGCCTCTCAGCCCCTGAATTCTGAGGTGATGAGGGACCTGGGTGAGATCAAGGACACAGGCCCCTTTGATGACAGGGGAACCCCGAGGACCAGCAGATGTTAACAGCGCCCTCAGGCGGTCACTGTGAGGCCCTAGTGAGGGTTTGAGCACAGGGAGGGCTAGGCACCATTAGAGCAGGTAAGATCAGGGCCTGCCTACCCTGGCACCTGATCCACCCTGCTCCTGAAGTCGGGTGGGTGGGAGCACAGCAGCACTCCCAGGAGAGATGAAAGGACAAAAGGGCCTTTGTGCCCTAGGCAGGTGCCTGTGGGCAGCCGGCACTTTTCCTGGGATCCCAGGGGTCATTGCTTCTACCCAGCACTGGAGTGGGTGGGGGTGGCAGAACTGGGTGCTGTCTGGGAGGCCAGGGTTCTAGGCTGCTGCCTTATTCTGAGTGACAGCCCCTCCAGTGTCAGATCGGAGCACATGCGGGGCCGGAGGCAGGAGCTCTGTGAGAAGAGATGGCTCAGTGCACTGGCTGCTCTTGTCGGGAGCACCCACACAGGCTCACAAACATCTGTCACTCCAGTCCCAGGGGACCCTACGGCCTCCTCTGACCTCCAAGAGCACCAGTCACATGTGGTACAGAGACATGCAGACAGGCAAAATACTCACATACAACCCCCCCCCAAAAAAAAGTAGACGTGGAAGGCTGGGACTTGACTGCTAAGAGGGGCTTGTAGCTCAGCCAGCAGACGGCTTGCCTAGAACACACAGGCTCTGCTTTAGTCCCTAGTGCCACAGACACCAGAGTGGGGAATGCCTGCACCCCACACGTGGGAGCTGGAGGCAGGAGGATTAGGGCTTTGAGGGCATGCCCGAGTACACTGCAAGCTCTAGCCTAGTCTGGGCCACAGGACACCCTATCTCCAAAAAAACACAACAACTGGCCGGGTGGTGGTGGCGCACACCTTTAATCCCAGCACTGTCTCAACTCCCCCACCCCATTTTTTAAAATGCTGCTTGTGTGGGGCGTGTGTATGTGCGAGTGGGTGGCTGTGGGGGCTGAAAGGGACTGAACACAGGTCTTCAGGCTTGGTTCGCCTGCCTTTGCCTAGCTCACCATCCCCAAGGCTTTATCCTTTTTTTAAAAAATATTTATTTATTATGTATACAATATTCTGTCTGTATGCATGTCTGCAGGCCAGAAGAGGGCACCAGACCCCATTACAGATGATTGTGAGCCACCATGTGGTTGCCAGGAATTGAACTCAGGACCTTTGGAAGAGCAGGCAATGCTCTTAACCACTGAGCCATCTCTCCAGCCCCTCCTTTTTTTTTTTAACGTATTATCTTTTATTTTTATTTTATGTGCGTCGGTGTTTTTCAACAGGAAGCAGGAAGTCACAGACAGTTCTGAGCTGCCATGTGGGGTACTGGGAATTGAACCTGGGTCCCCTGGAAGTAACAGCCAGTGCTCTTAACTCCTGAGCCATCTCTCAGGAGTTTTTTTTTTTTTTTTTTGATTTTTTATTTATTTACTTTGAGACAGGGTCTCAATGTGCAGCCCTGCCTGGCCTAGGACTCCCTATGTAGTCCAGGCTGGCCTTGAACTCACAGAGATCCACCTGCCTCTGTCTGCCCAGTGCTGGAATTAAAGACGTATTTCATCATACCTGCCCCTCGGCTGGATTTTTAAAAACAAATTCAAAGTAATAAACATGAGCGCACACACGTGTGCACATGCATACACACATACACATACACTCACACACACATTGTGGGCTACAGAAATCACACTGTCAGCTGGTATGTTTAGCCCTGGCCTTCTGGTCATGAACACAAGGGCATTTTTAATCCTTGCCTAAGCACTAAACCCAGAGAGGCCAGATGGGCAGGCAAACCACATGGGCACCCTGCTGGCGGGTTCTTCTTCCCAGCTTGGATCACCTATGGAGCAGAGCCACCTGGAGAAGTCTGGGCAGGGGAAGGGAGGGCAGGCTGGCCAGGTGGCAGTGGCCTGGCCCTGGCATGCAAGCCCTGCTGGTGGGGCCCTGCAGGCCTCTACAGTATAGCCAGCAGTGTGTACTGGTCTGCAGACAAGGTGGAGACTGTCTGTGTGCCAGGGTCTGGCTCAATTTAAAAGTGCCCAGAAAACAAAGTCCTTGTGAAGGGGAGAGGCTGGCTCGTAACCACACATGGCACATATTACTGGGCAGGGTTGGCCAACCCAGTGGGCCAGCAACAATATCACACAAGCCATTCCCTGTGCTTGTTTACACTGACATGGAGGCAGTGGTGGAGAGCCCTGGAGCAGGAGGGGAGGGAGAAGAGCGAAGAGCATGGCGGCCCTCCCTGTGCCGTGGGCCTCGCAGCTGGGCACTTACAGGCACATGACCAGGCTGTGAAGACTCCACAGCTGACACTGAGGGTCCTGTTCTTGAGACCTTGGAAGCCTAGGAAAGGGCCCGGTGGTGGTGTGTGTGGCTCGGTGGTAAAGAGATGGTTGAGTGTACATGGGTGGTGTGGGTGGCCCAGTTCTGTCGTTAACATCTGCGGAGCTGACACAAGGTCCCAGGCTTCAGCCCTAGCATCAAGTAAGTATCCATAAGACCCTCCCTCACCTTCTATCTCAGTAAATAAACATGCCCAGGCACACAATACCGGCACTGTCTGACCTGTGTCTCCTGTGTGCTGACATCGGCAACAAGCAGAGGTCCCTGCTCTCAAATCCCTATCAATCCTGCCTTAGGGGTCACAGGGCTCCTTGGCAGCCCACAACCTCAGGTTTGGAGAGCAGCTCCAGAGAGGCCACCTGTGCACCCCCACCCTTCATGTGTCCTGCCGTCTGTCCTAATCCACATTACAGCCACAGTCACAGCTGGGGAGGACACGGGCCCACACCAAGGGAGGCTGAAGCAGAGTGGAAGGTGCCAGCTGGGCAGTGAGTCATCAGGAGAGCGATGGTCCCCAGGCAAAGGCCCTGTAGTGAGCAGGTGCAACTAGCTGTGAGGTCAGGGCTGGGAGATAGTCAGAAATAGGGGCATGGGGCTCAGCTTTCATGGGGTGGGGTGGGGACAAGGTGGCAGAGGAGCTGAGTAGGATCAGTCTCATGGCGGGGCGGACCCTCAATGAGTAGGTGGTAAAAATAAAGAGGGTGCAGCCACAGTAGAAGGAGACGCAGTGGTGGGTCCAACAGGGAGCCAGTGGGATGGGCACTGAGGAGCTGGAGTTTGGAACAGGCCAAGGGGAAGAGCTCTTGAAAGGTGAGGGCAGCTGGAACAATGCCCAGAGGTCAGAGCACTGGCTGTTCCTTTGGAGGATCCAGGGTCAGCTCCCAGGATGCACATGGTGGCTCACAACCACCTGTAACTCCAGACCCAAGGATTCAGCACCCTCTTCTGTCCTCAGAAAGTACTGTGCACACACGGTGCACAATCATACATGCGGGCAAAACACCCATTCACATAAAATATTTTTTTAATTAAAAAAACAAAACGGGTAAGCTTGGAAGGGCCAAGCCGAAGTGTCACTAGCAAATGAAGTCAAGGGCTCCCAGACTGTCCCTGAAGCTCAGCACTGCATAGCACTGCCCTGAAGTCACTGCTTGATTCCTAGAGGCAATGCTCACCTTCCCACCCCAGGGCCTTTGCAGTGCCCTATGGGGCTCTGGGTATGGGTGTGTCACCCCTAGACAGTCCCACGAACTCCTCACTCCATACTGCGGGATGCGGATAGCATGGGAGCCTTACCCTGACCAGTGCTGCTGAGGCCCAGATGTACAAGGCTGCCGGTGCTGCTAGAGCTGGTAAGAGCAGGGAACGGGGGCTCCTCGGGATCCAGCGGCGTCGGGAGTGGGGAGGGAAAATGGGTGTTGGTGAGGTCAGGGAGGGAGCCCCCTGTGTTGTGGGTAGCGGGGATCAGGGCTGCTGTGCTCTCCTGCTCTGCAGATGGGAAGATGCTGGGGAGGCAGACGGGGACAGGACGTGAGGTCTGGGACCATGACTAACTGGCCAGCCATGCCACCCCAGGACAACTGCAGTGGGACAGGAGGGGACTGAGGGGATCAGTGGATACACGGTGAGCCGTGAACATGACAGGACCCCAGGCTGGAAGGAAAGCTGTCCACAGGGACAGGGGACATGTTTGCAAGCGAGTGACAGGCCAGGACCTCCTGGGTACCCACTGGTGGCAGGTACAGACTTGGAGATGGAAAAGCCCTGGAACAGAGGGGTGGGGGCCACACTTACTTGATCCCAGGAACCTCGCAGGACTTGGGCCTGGAACCCGTCTGAAAGAGAGTAGAGCAGACGGCGTGTAGCAGGCACAGCTGCCTGTGTGCGGAGCCCAGTGCTGTGCCCTTCCCTGCTTCCCCTGCCCAGGACCAGCAACCATGCGACGATGCAGGGGGCCTCTGAGGAGCCCAGGGCAGAGTCAGGAGATGTAAAGATCTTCTCACATCCTCCCCAGATCCTGGAGCTGCTCTTGGGAATGGTCACAGCAGAGCTCTAGGCTGTGGCACTGGGGACTCCTGGATACCTGTGGACTCTGAGATCCTGGTCCTCTAGGGGCCAGTGCTGCAGGCTGGGTGCAGACCAGAGGGATGAAAGGCAGGCAGGCAGCAGCTGGGGGCTTCCCTGAGGCTGGCATATGACCAGCAGACTTGCTATATTATGAGACTCCAGCTGGATAAGTCTTAGAAAAGCTTTCTGGGCCAGTTATATGGTTCAGCCAGTAAAGGAGCTTGCCACATAGGCTGATGGTCTGAGTTCATTTCCCAGGACCCACATGGCAGAAGATACCCGACTCCTAAAGTTATTCTCTTCCCTCCACACACATGCCAGGGTACACACACACAAGCACATGCTCGTGCATACACACACATACATACTCACATACACAATACAGTTTAAAAAAATGTAATAATAAAAAAAGACATGTCCCATGGTCTCAGAGACCCTAATGGCTTTCTTAGCTATGTGATGATGCCCCCAGGTCTCTGAACATACATTCATTCTTCTCTATATTTTTATTTCCGCACACTGTCATGGAGCCCAGGCTGGTTGCAAACTCCTGCTCCTTCTGCCTCAGCCTCAGGTACTGAGATGAAGTGAGCCACACAAGATCAGCTGCGTGACAGCCCACATCCACCCTACTTCTGAACTGAGCCAAGAGTTTAGATGATCAGAAATTCTTTTCTTTTTATTTTGGTTTTAGTTTGAGACGTTTCTCTGTGTAGCCCTGGTGGTCCTGAAACTGTAGACAAGCTGGCCTTGAACTCACAGAGATCCTGCTTCTGCTTCCTGTTGGGATTAAAAGTGTGCAAGGCCATACCGTTCAGATTCTTTCTTTCTTCAGTGTTGGGAATGGAATCCATACATGCTAGGCAAACACGCTACCCCTGAATCACATTCCAGCTTCCCTTTTATTTTGAAAGAAAAAGATTTATTTTTTTAATGCGTATTTTGCCTGCAAGCATGAATGTGTACGAGGTGTGTGCCTGGTGCGCATGGAGTCAGAAGACAGCAATGGTTCCTTGGACCGCAACACAGATGGTTCTAAGTCCCCTTCTGGGTGCTGGGAACAAAACCTGGGTCCTCTGCAAGAACTGCTGAGTTGCACCTTTTCCTTTTTGACATTTAGTATTTATTTGTGCGTACATGTGCGTATGGGGTGGTCTGGGCACGCTTGTGCCATTATAGGCACGTGGAGGTCAGAGGACAACTTGAGGTAGTTGGTCCTCTCCTAACATATGGATCCTAGGGTTGGCGGCAAACACCCCCAAGGGCCCTCACAAGTCCTGCTTCTGCTTTGTATTCTGAAGCAAGGCCTTGTTCTATGGCTCCTGTCTGGGCCTGGTCACAGTACGCTGAGGTCTCGGCTGGGACGAGTGTCTGTCCTCTTCACCACTGTGACTAGTCATGGATGTTAGTTAATGTTGGAGCTGTTTCTAGGCAGTCTGAGAGGCCTGCTGTTAATGTCAATGCCTGGGTGCCAGTCAAGCTGCACAAGGGACCCACCTTGGGGAAGATGGAGCCACTTCAACAAGCTACCCAGTCACTTGTTTCTAGGCTGGGTTGGCGAAAAGGCCAGCCCACTCTGCGGTTCTTACCTTCTTTGAGTCCCACGACTGCTTAGAAAGTGTCTTGTCCGTCTCAGACTGGGTCTCCTCCATGCCTGGGACTGTGAGTAGTAAGACTGGATTGGGGAGAGAAGGGTCAGGAAGACTGAGTGCACGACCCTGGCAGCATATCCAGGGGTGACTGAAGCTGTCAAAGAGGGCGTGGTCACCAAGACAGCCCTGCACACCTTGACTGCAAGACCAGGGGACAAGCTGTGGCTCACTCTCCCTTGTCTCCGCATCAACGCTCAAGTCCCCAGTAGCTAAGCCAGACTTGGGTCCCCTACACTGGTGACGGGTTCTGACCCTGTTGCTGATGCCCAGAGGGGGCGGCGAGCCCGAGGATGAGCAGAGATGTCAGGGGGGACCTCAGGCTGGCCAGTGGGTGAGACTGGGGGGCTGGTGGGGGTCTGAGAGTGAGGTGGATGGATATTGCTTGCTTTGCCTGAAGCCTGCCTTAGTCATGGTGAAGGTGTAATTCTGTTCTGTTTTGCAGTGCTGGGGGTAGACCTAGGGCCCCGCAACACTCAGCAAACGCTCCATGGCTACACTGTGCTGTTTTCTGCCTCTTGCTGGACTCACATTTTCCCTCGTGACTTGCAGGACCAGAAGAAGAAATGGCATTTGGGAAAGAACATCATGGAAAGCAGACGTATGCGTGTGTGTGGGATAGTCAGGGGTAATTTCCAGCCCATACTGCCTTGGTCCCTCTCGGAGCGCAAGACATGGGTCTTCCCACATCAAGGGAAGTTGGATGCTGTGCATAGAGGCCCACTGAGGCTCCTGAGAAGGCACGAGACCTTCATGGCAGGTCTCTTACAGAAGGAGGCCCTGTGTAAGGAGGACACACAGGTCTCAGTACAGCCTGGACTGTTCTGCCCAACCTCGGCGCTCCCTGCACTGCAGTCTTCAGCTTGTAGCCTTGGGTGACCTGCCAGTACACCCCCCAGCCAGTACAACCCCCAGGATGAGTACTTTATCCAACAGAGGCTCCCTGGGAGCTGCCACACACAGGCCTCCTCTGGTACCTGGGCCTCAGCGTCTACGGTTTGCTACACCTAGCCCCACAGAACCCATACCCTATCTCTTCAAGACAGCTGGTCTTCAACACAGAGTTGTATGGGGGCCCAGGACTTGGGGAACAGCCTACAGAGTTGTGTGTATGGCAGCAGGAAGGAAGCTCACCCCAACCTGGGGAGTCGATGGCCTTCTCTTACATGGAGCTACGTAGCTGGGTCCAAGGGAAGGATGAAAGGGCAGTTTTTTTTTTTTTTTTTTTTTTTTTTTTTTTTTTTTTTTTTTTTTTTTTTTTTTTTTTTTTTTTTTTTTTTGAGACAGGGTTTCTGTGTAGTTTTGGAGCCTGTTCTGGAACTGTTTCTGTAGACCAGGCTGGCACTGAACTCACAGAGATCCTCCTGCCTCTGCCTCCCAAGTTTGGGATTAAAGGTGTGCGCTACGACCGCCTGGCTTCTCTGCATGTTCCTGCCAACTTCTTACAGTTTGGTCAGTCACAGGCCCATGGCCCAGCCCCAGCCCAGCTCAGAATACAGCCAGTGCTCATCACCCAGGTCTGGCTCTACCTGTAAAACACCTGTGCATTCTTCAACACCAACTCCAGTAGCCCTGCCTGGGCAAGATTTTCTTAAGACATTCATCCTACTCTGAATATTAGTCCACCAGTCTGGTGACCTCGTGGGATGACATACCTCTTTTCTGCTGTGCGTCCTGAGACCCGCCTGTGAAGGACTCTACCTGGGTGGGGGCCATTGTGCTCTGGTGCAGGGCGGAGTCAGAGTTGGTCCTGGGGACAAAGGGATGGTAACACAGGCTCAGTCTTTTTTTTTTTTTTTTTTATTTATTTATTAAATATTTCAGTCTCTTCCCCACCTCCGCCTCCCCTTTCCCTCCCCCTCCCCCAATCCGTTCCCAGGCTCAGTCTTGATCTATCCATGTTAGAAACAGCCTTGCTCCCTACAAGGGTCCAGGACCTGCCCCATGGGCAGTCTGTGTGGGTCATCCCACCAGCTGTGTGCCCCAGGACGCCCACCCTATCTCGCTGCGGTGTGCTAGTATCCCAGACATGTGCTGCTGCAGCTGACGCCATGTGGGTTACAGGACTGAACTCAGGGTCTTGTGTTTTGCCTTGATTTTCCAAAGAGGTTGCCACCTAGCTTTCCATGCCCAGTGCTAGGCCTGTAGGCCTAAGATGGATGCCCCAACGTTGCAGAGGAACCATGGGTGACTGTCCTTGCAGTCAGCTGTTTCTGTCATTTCTCACATTTTTGGAAGTCGCTTGCTCACACTTCCTGCTTACTCAGTTAATATTATTTCCTTCTTGGGTTTCTGAGGGGATTGAAGATTAGATAGCTATAGTTATAGCTTACCAGATGCAGAATACAAGTTAAAATAAAAGTAAATTAGGTACAAGACTTTGGACTTGTCAAGTTAGGATAGACATGGATTATTTTCTCTGAATTTATCAAATGCAAATGGACTGGACATTACTGATGTACTTATTGCCTGTATATATTGTATATTGTCATTGTACTTACCATATATAGTTTTTTGTACAATAGTTATAGCCTTCTCTTTTTTAAAATATTAGACAAAAAGGGGAGATGTAGTGATATTGCATTTGTATTTGTATAGTTTGCCTTAAGTTCAGAGAGTAAAACAGCCATAGGGATCAGCCTTACAGACCGGGCAGTGGTGACACACACTTTTAATCCCAGTAGTCAAGCTAGTTTGCCAGAAACCAGGTGGTACTGGTGCGTGCCTTTAATCCCAGTCCTAGAGAGGAACATAAAACAGGAGGAGACAGCTCTCAGTTTCATTCTGAGATTCCTGGAGGCAAGAGTCCATTTTGGACTGAGGTAAACAGTGGCTGGCTGTTTTGCTTTTCTGACCTTCAGGTGAACCCCAATATCTGTCTCCAGATTTTTATTAATTGTTCTGTAGCCCAGCTTTTTTATTTAAAGAATTGTGATATTTTTAAAGATTTATTTTTTGTGTATGGGTAGTCTGCCTGCCTGCCTGCCTTGTGTACCACGTGAGTGCCAGTGTCCATGGAGGACAGAAGAGGGCATCAGAGCCCCAGCAGTTGGAGTGACAGTCCATGCTCAATTACGAAGCCGTTTCTCCAGCGCAGTTTTACACGAAGCTGAGAATGGGATCCAGATTATGTACACGCTAAGTGAGCATCAAGCACTCAACAGCCCATCCCAGCTTGGTTTGCTTTAACTGAAAGTGTTAGTCAGGGATGGTAAGTATGGTCCCAGCCACAGCGAAGATCCCAGGAATGTGAGGTCTGCCTGAGGAGCACAGTGAGAAACCACGTTTGAAAAAAAATTGGGCCAGCAAGAGAGCGCAGAAAGTAAGAGTGCTAGGCCATCAAGCCTGATGGTCGGGACCTAGGTGTTAGCACCTGTGCCACACTAGCTCTCCCCATCAAAGCCAGGCGTGGTGGCCCACGCCTTTGACCCCAGCACTGGGAGGCAGACAGGCGGATCTCTGAGTTCAAGGCCAGCCTGGTCTACAGAGTGAGTTCCAGGAAGCCAGCACTACCGAGTGAGACCCTCACTCAGAAACACTCACTCTCAAAACAAAACAGAAGTCGACCTGGGCCATAATTAAGTGGCTGAGCTCCCCGGCACCCATGAGGCCCTGGCTTTACTCCCCGCACCACATAAACTGGTGTGGTGACACAGGCCTGTCCCCTCAGTGGCCAGGGCTGGACGACAGGTGTTAAGGTCAGCCTGAGTCCATGAAACTCTGCCTCAGAGAGAACAGAGTAGCAGCAGAATATGATAGCAAGTATCACTATCCTCTGCGGTCCCTGGGAACCCACATGGCACGGAGCCTGTGTAGTGCAGCCCTGACCAGCACCCGACACAACAGTGCAGTGCTGTACAGAATCTCACACCTCCAGCTGACAGGACACTGGATATGATGCTGCACTGTGTACAGCTATTACATTGCTTTTTCCCCCAAGATTTATTCTGTTTGTGCATGCAGTTCCTCTGCAGGCCAGCAGAGGGTGTCAGAGCCTCTGGAGCTGGAGTTACAGGTGCTGGTCAGCATGTGGTTCTGGGATTCAAACCTGAGTCCTTGGGAAGAACAGCCAATATGCTGAGCTGCTGAGCTGCCTCTGCAGCCCTGCATGGCCTGGAGTTCACAGAGATCTGCCTGCCTCTGTCCCCACATGCTGCGACGACTGGTGGGGACCTCCACATCCAGTTAACACCGACAAGCAGCATTCCCTACAGCTTCCTTTTCATGGTGCTGGGATAGAAGCAGGGGCCTCGTGTGTGGCAGGTGGTGCTTGCTACAGACCCGCATCTCAGTTGCCAAAGGCCATTTAGAAATGTGTCTGAAAGGCAGCTTCCATGCAGCAAATGCCAGGCTGGTGGTGCACACCTCTACTCCCGCCACTCGGGAGGCCGGGGGCCGCTGCAGCCAGTCTGGGCTAGGGAGTGAGAGGCTGTCTCATTAGGAGAACAAAATAAAAAAGAAACAGGCAAGATACACCACCGCCTATTCAATTCTAGAAATAAGTAAGAAATAAAAACCAGGTGGTGGCTGTGCACACCTTTAACCTCTGAACTTGGGGAGGCAGAGAGAGGCAGATCTCTGCAAGTTCGAGGCCAGCCTGGTCTACAGAGTGAGTTCCAGGACAGGCAGGGCTACATGGGGAGATACTGTCTCAAAACAAACAAACAAACAAAAAGAAATATGGAAAAAGAGAGAGGGAAGAAGAGGAGGAGGAGGGAGGAAGGGCAGGAGGAAGAAGAGGAGCAGAAGAAGCAGGAGGAAGAGGGAGGAGCAGGGAGAGAAATGAGGCTCTGAAGGCTCATGAAGTCACCCTCTCTGTATTTCGAAGTTGACTTCTGGAATCCTTTGGGAGCATCTGGCTCACTTGGTCACTTTCCAGTGACCATGCCCTGCATCTCCTTACACAACTGTAACAATCGTCTACACTGTCTTCTCCCGGAGGCAGGTGGCCCTGGCACTGACCTCCTCCAGCTGGTGTCTGCAGGAGGCGAGAGGTACACGGTGCCATAGGGGCAGCTGTCAGCGTGTATGAGTTAAGGGAACCTCGCAGTGGGCTCTGACCCTCCCTTGGTCACACACTGGTCATGGCCACAGCATAGGAAGCCTGGCACACTCGCTGGGTCTGCAGATAGCTGGCCAGGAGGGCAAGGGGTGTTTCCTGCCTGGCTGGAAGCAGCTGCTGGTGCAGGGGCTCCCTGGGGGGCCTGGCTCATTTACCCACAACTCAGCACCACCCTCCAAACTATTCTAAGAGGAGGCCCAGGCCTCACACTGGGGCCCAGATGCCTCATGGAGGCCAAATTCAACTGACCTCTTTGATTGAGGCAGCTCCTAGCACCAAAGGCTCAGAAGCAAAAAGCAGAGAGCAAGCAAACAGCTCCATCTTGCAGAGTTGGGGGCGGGGGCAGGAGAAACCTGAAGCCACTCTGTGCCGGAGGATCTCGCAGTGGCAGCCAAGTGAGGAGGAGGACCCTGGCAGGTGTCCACCCTCCAAACAACAGAGGCAGGACTGTGTGTGGAGTCATCGCTATGTCCATCTGGGCCTGGCTCTGTCTGCAGCCCTTGAAGGCTGCGCTCCTGATCAGTCCTCTGTGGTTTGGAGTCACCTCCTTAACTCTGCTCTTTGTCCCACTTACCCCACCTCTGACTCCAGCACACTGGCTATCTGCAGGCTGACCCCAGATTTCCCTGTTTTGGTGTGCACAGGCAACAGTGTGTGCCTGTTCCCGCTCCCTCCCAATCCCACACACATCCTCTGCAAAAGGATATCTGTCGCCCATGCTTGTCAACTGAGAGGGGCCGGCGGTGCGGGGAGCCAAGTCTGCCGCGCTCACGATATACTCTGTCCACAAGCCCATGGTGTCGTGTAGTCCGACTCGTGTCCAGGCCTGAGGACTGAAATGGTGTCTGGAGAAAAGAAATGGGGTCAGAAAGGAGAGAGGAGACCCAAACCCAGACTACTGGCTGAGGCCTGAGGTTCCCCCAGCTTTACCCTCAGGGACCCCTGATCTGGGGACACATTCAAACTCTACCCCATAGGCTTCTCTGGCAGACCAAGTTCCAGCTGCACCATGGGGCTAGGGTGCAAAAGCTGGCAGGGGTGTCCCAGGAAGGTCAGGAGGCTTGGAGTGCAGCCTGCATGTTCAGGCCAGACAGGGCACTCCAAGCTTTGCCTGGGTGCCAGGGATAGCTCTCCCCAGCTGGCCAGGTGCAGACAGGCCTCCACCCTCTCTTCCAGGCCTGGCCGGCCTCCTGTCCCCACCTACGTCATCTCTGAAGGGGCCAGCCAAGAGAGGCCCCCAGGGCTTCAAGCCCAGAGCTGCTGTGGGGCCCACCTGGCCCGGCACTTGCTCCCAAGAGGATCAAGGCAGAGCCCAGAACTGCTCTGGATTGAGTGGGAGCCCTCTCTCCTAGCCCCTCTCCCACTCCACCCCAGCATCTCAGCCAGGCGCCACTGAGAGCCAAGTACAGGCGCCTTCCGGAGCTGTGGCCTGGCTGGCTGGCTAGGGCTGCTTACTCACACCTGGGCTGGCACAAGGCTCCAGGCAAACCTTAGTGTCCCCAAGGCTGCCAGAAGCCTGTCACCATGTTAGGGTGAACTCAGCTGCCTGTGCCAGCCCAGGACATGTCTTATCCCCATGACTGCCCTGGCTACCTAGCCCTTCTGTCCCCAGGCATAAAGCAAAAGCCATTCTGATATTCAAATGGGCTTCCTGCTGGCAGTGGCTGGAATGGACTGGCCACTTCTGTGTGTCTGCCTTCAGGGCTGGCTGAGTAGCCACTGCCAAATCTCTTTGTGACCCAGAGAGACCTGGCTGGTTTGGGATGTTCTATAGCTTTCCCCAAGGAGGGGTAGTGAGGCTCAAAGATGGCCATGAGCCTCCCCACCAGTCCTGGGAAGGAAGGGGTCAGTCATCTCTCCGAGACATCTGTAAGCCTCAAGAAAAAATCGAGGCAGCTGCTGCCCATCTCTCTAGGCCAGGAATGCCTCCTTATATCAGACCCCTCTCAGCTCTTTGCCCCCATTAGCAACCAAAACCCATCCTGCAACAGAGGCCACTAGCCCTCTAGACCCTGCCCAGCCTTCCAATCCCTGCCCTCTTCTCCAGGCCCCTCCTAGCCTTTCAGTTCTATCTGGGATCCAGCACTTGGGCATGTGCATGCTTCCAGGCTTAGATCATGAATCTTGGGACACGTTTGGACTCTGCTGCAACACATCCCAGGTCAGGATATGTGCACATGGCATCTGCCCAAGAAGGACCCCAAGAGTCCCGGGGAACGTTGAGCAGATTCACCCTGGGTAGGGGTGGAGGGTACCTCCCCAGGAGCCACAGGGACAGCTGTGGGTGTGCACATAAGGGTGAAGGGTGTGCACATATGGGTGAAGGGTGTGCATATCATATGGGTGAAGGCCTCACAGGTCGGGGCTGGGCAGGAACAGCCTCAGTCTGGGGCTCAGTTAGCACAGACACTGAGCTGTGGTCAGGGTTACCCCTAAAACCCACTGCACTGAAAATGTGAAGAACCAACACCCTGAACTGTCCAGTGGGTAAGTGTGGGCCCAGTAGGGTCCCTTGTGCCCTCAGACTGAGAAGTACACTGTGGTGACCATGCAGGGTTAAGTGAAGGTGCTGGGGAGGGGGAGCTGAAGATAAAATGGAGGTTACCCACCCCAGAAAGCCAGTGACTTCAGTATGCCAAGCTCTGGAACTCCACAGAGTGAGGTTCCCCAGGACCAAGCTAGCAGTCTTAAGCACACCCAGGCACAGACTGACTATCCCAGCAGCCACATGGTAGGGGAGGAGTCATGATTCTGGAGCCTGCCAGCTCTTGGGGACATGGCTGTTCCTAGACCCTTGGTAGCACTGTTTGATGGCTGGAGGGCCCTGTCTGAACCCCCTCCACTCACTTCTCCTGCAGACTGGGGTCTGGGGAGGAGACACTGGCCCTTATCTACATTATCCTGACAGCAGCCTGCAGCCTGAGGGAGCCTGCAGGGTGTGCGGCTCTGCCAAGAACTGTCTGCAGACAAGTGGGGTCAGGCGGCAGGGGCTTCCTTCTGAGAACTGCAGATCAGTGAGGCGGCTGGAGCCAAGCCTCCAAGGCCCTGAGGTCTTCCAAGGCCTCAAAGCCGGCAGGCAGGTGCAGCAGCTGCTGAGTGCTATGACTAGTCGGGGAGGGGGTAGGCTGACTCCAGGAGTCCGTGGAGCTCAGGGAACCTGGACCGGCCGCCCTGCCACCTCCAGACTCGAGATGTAAGAGAATGGGTGAAAACAGCTCAGCCTGGGGCCACCCAGCTGTCCCTGCAGGCTGTGGCTCGAGTGGAGCCCAGAATGCAACAAAGTTGAGACAAGAAGACTTGCAATATTACCTAGGAAAGGGGAAATCTTAAGAGGAAAGGGGGCTCACCTGGAAGGAGAAATCCATGCTGCCACTTCCAATCTGGTTCACGTTGGGCAGGGACCCGCCATAGTACTGGCCGCGGCTGGGGCCCAGCTGCAGGTACTGGGACTTCTGCAGTTGAAGCTGGAGAAGCAAAGCCACCAGCTGTCACCATGCAGGAGGGAACATGTTCTAAGAGAGCCCCACAGAGTACCCAGACACCCAGAGGGTTCAGGTGGTGGGGTTGAGGGACCCTGTGACAGAGATTCTGAAAGAGGCAGAACCTATTCTAGATGGTGCTCCCCGAGTGGGACAATGCACCCCAAAGAAGCTTCTGACCATGAACTTGTGGAGCTAGCTGCCTGGCTCACTTTACTGAGAGACCTGGGAAAGCCTGGCCAGAAACCACAGACATGCTGGCCATTGGGAAGCCTATTTCAATGGTGGAAAACTGTTTACTAATATAACATGTGGGGGCTATCTGTCTGACCCTCTAGCCCTAGTCTGAGCACTGGGGATCCTACCTAAGCCCTCCAGCTCCTTGGGACCCTGAGGAAGCAGGTACAGTCACATATCTGAGTAGCATGCCTGCTAGTCTCCAGCCCTGCTTAGGAGTGCGGACTGTAGGGAAAGGGGCATGGCCCATTTCCGGTGTCTGGACGTAGTGGCCAGGGAGAGTGCTGTCTGCTCTGGCTGGGCTGTGGTTGCTAGGGTCCTGCACTGTGTACACAACAGGGCTGCCTCTCAGTTTCTCTCACAAACAACTGGCGGCCCAACTTCCCGCCCCTCTCCCACGCCAGCCCTTGCTTCCTGGGGAGGCCTTGGACACTGGAGAAGGAAGCAAGACTCCAACTGGCTGTATGCCAGGTCAAGCACCTCACCCAGGTAAACAGCTGTTTCCTGTGTGCCTCAGTGGAGGACAGAGAAAGATGAACGGGCCTGGATCTTGGGTGCCTCTGCTGGGTCTGTACTGGGAGGTTTCTGTGTTCTCAGTGGATGCCAGCTGGTCCCACCCACAGCTCCCCACTGAGTTCCTCCCTGCAGCTATGAAATATGGAAAGGGGCAGGCAAGATGGCTCAACAAGAAAAAGTGTTTGCTGCTAAGCTTAAGGACCGGAGTTCAATCCTTGAACCCCAGGGAGACCTGACTCCTACAGGTTGTCAGTTTGTTCTCTGATCTCCACCCACACAAGTGAGTGTAATTAAAAATGAAACAAAGCTGAACAGTGGTGGCTCACGCCTTTAATCCCAGCACTCAGGAGGCAGAGGGGGTGGATCTCTGTGAGTTCGAGGCCAGCCTGGTCTACAGAGTGAGTTCCAGGACAGGCTCCAAAGCTACCGAGAAACCCTGTCTCAAGAAACAAAGAAACAAACAAAAAAAATTGAAACAAGTGAGAATAGGAGTGCTTCTCTGGACGAAGCCAGTGTAGCTCTTAGCGCCCATCTTGTCCAGGGCTGGGTCACACTCCTTAGGTCCCCACCTGTCTGAGCCTCAATTTCTCACCTCCTAGTGTGAGTGCCACAGATGGGTCTGTGCTCCACCAGTCCTGTGGTGACAGAAATGGCACGGAACAGCACATGTGTCCACATGTGGTTCTCCACGGATGGACAGACCAGGCGCCAGGGCACTGCACATCAGGCCACTGTACTTACAGCTATGTCTGAGAACACAGGAGGCCTGGTATTTGGGGATGAACCTCAGAACTGGGTCTGACCAGAACGATCCTCAGGGGTTCTAGTCCACTCTGCAGAAGCTTTGCTCTCCTGCAAGATGTCTGAGCCCACCCACCTAGCTCAGCAAGGCCTTGCAGCAGCTGCTCTATCTTGGCTGCTGTGGTGTGAACCCCATCTCCCCTGGGGCCGTCAGGCCCACCTTTAGTGACAAACAGAATTTGCACAAGACACCTGGAGGCCTTCAGGACATCCTCCCTGACAAGGTACCATTGCGGTAGGGTATGGGGTGCACATCTGTCGTTCCAGCACTGAAGAGGCTGAGGCAGGAAGGGCAGGAGGTCAAGACCAGTATCTTAAGTGTTTTTATTGTTGCAAGGAAAAAGCATGACCAAAAGCAAGTTGGGGAAGAATGGGATTATTGGCTTATGATTCATCAGAAGAATTTAGGACAAGAGCTCACACAGGGCAGCAACTCCAGGCAGGAGCTGATGCAGAGGTCATAGAGGATGCTGTTTACTGGTTTGTTCCCCAAGTCTTGCTCAGCCTGCTTTCTTAGAGAACCCAGGACCACCACGTGCCCAGGGATAGTCCCACCCACAATGGACTGGGCCCTCCCCATGAATCACTAATTAAGAAAATACCCACAGGCTTGCCTACAGCTTAGTCAGTCTCTCTCTCTCTCTCTCTCTCTCTCTCTCTCTCTCTCTCTCTCTCTCTCTCTCTCTCTCTCTCTCTCTCTGTTTTTCGAGACTGGATTTCTCTGTAGCTTTGGAGCCTGTCCTGGAACTCACTCTGTAGACCAGAACTCACAGAGTTCCTGAGTGCTGCAGCTTAGTCTTAAGAAAGCATTTTATCAAATGAGGCTTCTGACTCTCAGAAGACTCCAGCTTGTGTTAGAACCGTCAGTCTCAACATGAGACCTAACACAGTTATCTCAAGTAGAAAACTTTGAGATGACCCAATAAAGCAGCAGATTTTTCTGTTAGTTTAACGTCCACGGGGAAAAGCTGTAACATGAATGTGAACGGTGGGTGAAGGCCGGAGTCTCTCCCTGACGATGGGAAGCCCCCACAGCTCCCTCTCACGGCAACAGCGACGGAGCGACCTCACCAGCCTGGCAGTAACGTTCTGAGCCACCTAAGAACTGGAGAATGACCACATGGGCCTGTCATGCAACAAAGAATCAAAACCCAGGTGTCGTGAGAGCCTGGCGATGGTGTGGTGGCTTTGATTGCTCATCCACTGCTACCGTGACAGTCATTATTAAGTCCCAGTCTGCAAAGGATGAACTGTGTGAGCTGGAGCGCCTGACAGCTAACCACACAGGCTCTGAACTCCCAGAATGCACTTCTGGTGAAAGGTATTTTTGCAAGATTTTCATGTTGAAGACAAGAACTCAAACATAGTCAGAAGTGGAGCCTAGGGGGCTGGAGAGATGGCTCAGTGGTCAAGAGCATTGCCTACTCTTCTAAAGGTCCTGAGTTCAATTCCCAGCAACCACATGGTGGCTCACAACCATCTGTAATGAGGTCTGGTTCAGACATACAGAGAGAATATTGTATACANTAAAGGTCCTGAGTTCAATTCCCAGCAACCACATGGTGGCTCACAACCATCTGTAATGAGGTCTGGTTCAGACATACAGAGAGAATATTGTATACATAATAAATAAATATTAAAAAAAAAAGAAGAAGTGGAGCCTGGATTTAGTTTCCATCAGTCACTGGCTGTGGAGACCTGTTTAAAAAAACAAAAGAGGGCTGGAGCAGCAATGCCAGCAGGATGGCTTGGCAGGTTTGGGCAGCTCAGTACCAAGTCTGACCAAGTCTAATGACCTGAGTTTGATCCCCACAATCCACATGGTGAAGGAAAGAGCTAACTCCCATAAGTTGCCCTCTGACCTCCACATGTGTGTCATGGCTCATTCTCACACACATGTGGAGATATGATAGAAAGACAGAGAGAGAGAGAGAGAGAGAGAGAGAGAGAGAGAGAGAGAGAGACAGACAGACAGACAGACTGACTGACTGACTGACTGACTGACTGACTGTAGACATAGCTTTTGGTTTTTTGAGAGAGCGTTTCTCTGTGTCCTGGAACTGGCTCTGTATACAAGGCTGGCCTCGAACTCACAAATCGGCCCGCTTCTGCCGATTTAAAGGTGTGCACTACCACCACCCTAACTAGTTATTAAGGTGTATCATCACGGACCTGGGCTTTAAAGACTGACCTTCAACAAGAGCCCAGATGCCCAGGCAGTATGGCTGTGCTGGCACACACTGGTGTGGGCAGGATGAACATGCTCACGTGGTGTCATAGGGATGGAACAACTGAAAGGCCTGCCCCATGTCTCCTGGGCCACCTACCCTGCACCCTTGGCCGAAATAAACTATAACTGTAAGTCAGAGAGCTTCCAGAGAGTTCTGAGTCTTTCTAATACATTGTTGGACAGAGGGTGACCCTGGGGTGATGAGATCCTGACCTGTACCCCGTAAGCCCCTCCTACAGCCAAACCACACTCTGTGCTGCCACACTGCTTCCTGAGGACACAGAATGGTCTACAGAGCCATGCCAACCTGGTACCTGCTGACGAGCATGTGACAGGAAGAATAAATGAGCGCGAGGCACGAGTCCGCCACTCTGTTGGGCTGCTCACACAGGACAGCCCATCAGTCCCTCTGAAGCCAAACTGCACATAAAGCAGTGGTTTTCAACCTGTGGGTGACAACCCTTTGGGGGGTCAAATGACCCTTTCAGAAGGGGCATATACCAGACATCCTGCATATCAGATATTTACCTTAAGATTCATAGCAGCAGAAAAATTACAGTTATGAAGTAACAGTGAGATATTTATGGTTGGGGGTCACCACAACGTGAGGAACTGTATTAAAGGGTCATGGCACTAGCACGGTTGAGAACCGCTTGTCCCTGATCCCCAGGCCAAGCTGGCCACTTTGACATAAGCAGGAACATGTGGACACTGGCCCCTGAGGGACCGTCTAGGAGATACAGTAACCCCTCCACCCTGACAGCTCAGGGCTAAGGCCTGTTGGACGCCTTCCCTTCCCATCCCCAGCTGCCAGCAGGGGTCACACTGCAGCATTTATGCTCAGGTCTGTGGGCCAAGCCCAGGGCCAGGTCTACAAACAGTCCTCTCTAAAATTCTGAGAGCCCACCTGGACAGAGGGCGGGCAGGCACCCACATGTTTGCTTTAGTCTGTCACCTTCTACTTGGCCCACTGCTGCAGGATTGGGATTGTCTCAGCCTTCTGAGTGCTGCCATCACAGGTGTGTGCACCACAGAGAAGAACAGAAGGCAGCGGGAGGCCCAAGTGCACTCTCAACTGAGCGCCATCCGAACCTGCAGAAAGGACCCTGGCACCAGCCTGGTCACAGCTCTGCTTGTGACTTCTTGGCTCCCAGCCACCTTGGACTTGGATCAGTGAGTCGCTGAGACCTAGTGGCTGCTG